TGACCATTTGGGTTAGATCTGAAGGTCATTATATCTCTTTGGGAGGACTTTGGAAGAAAGTATAAAAAACTGTAGTGATACAGCTTTCTCTCGAGTCCAACCAAATAACATTGTCTTCTCAAATGAGTTATTTCAGATCCTGGAGAATTGTATCTGCCAGTTTCTTCTAAAAATTTAGATGCCTAAAGGAGTAATTCCAGAGCAGAATCCACCATTGCTGGATGGCAACATTCAAACGACAGTTTGAAGAAATTTGTCTTAATTTTTTTGGCCTATAGTTTCTTCTGAGCTATGCTTAAGGTCTTTAGTAAAAGAATTAGCAATTATTAGGGAGGAAATCTGTGTCTCTGTATCTATTATTTATTTTTCAAGTAGTCCTTGATTTATGACCAAAACTGAGCCCAAGATTTCTGTTGCTAAACAAAACAGTTAAGTGAGTTTTGCCCTGTTTTATGACAACTTTCTTGTCACAGTTGTTAAATGAATCACTGCAGTTACTAAGTTAGTAATACTGTTGTGTAGTGAGTCTGGCTTCCCCATTGACTTTGCATCTCAGAAGGGTCGAAAAATGTCATCACATGAACCCGGGACACTGCAACCATCATACATACATACCAAGTGTCCAAATTTTGATCATGCGACCACAGGAATGCCACAATGGTCATAAGTATGAAAAATGGTCATAAGTCACTTTTTTCAATGCTGTTGAAACTTTGAATGGTCTTTAAAGAAATGGTTGTAAGTTGAGACTACAGTTCTTTCACAACTGCTCCAAGTGACTACAGTTGTGGGGAATGCAAAAGGACAGAAATGTATCATTTGACAAGGGCATGGACTGGATTGTGAAGGCTTTGAATGCTGTACATATTCATTTAGCAATACATAGGTGGACACCATGGTTAAGAATTATTATGTCCTCCTGGGGGTCTTTATTTGGAAACAAAGTGCAACCCGACCCTTTCACAGTCCTATATTGGAAATGCATAAGAAACACACTTTCTATCTATCTATCAGGAAAGAAGATTTATCATAGAGAATAATAGCAGCCCTTTCTATTTCCTAGAATTATTGTAGGAGATAGGCTACAATAGGCTATTGTAGGAGATGACTAGGCTGAGCCCGAGGAAGGGGTCAAATGCATCATCAGTCATGAACTAGAACTCCCAGTTTCCTGGTTTCTGGGCCAGAATCTTCATCACTTCACCAAACTGTCTCTCTTATGCTAGTTTACCATTTTCCTTTGCAAAGACAAAGAAGAAAATGGTAATGAGGACTTGAAATCTTTGCTGTAATTTCTAAGATTTTTTTTCCCCTGTGAAGTTTTGTGTTCCTGTGTGTATCTTTGTGTGTGTCCATATTTCTAGAGTGAGGATAGGAGCCATCAGAAAACAATGAGCAGAACAACCTCAAAATACTTTTCTTTTCAAACTGTCTCTTCCCAATGGAGAAATCTAATCTAATAAACAATCTCTAATGATTAGGAAAAATGCGTCAGGAATAGATGGATAAATAAATGTATCCTGTTTATTTTATCCACCCTCTCTGGAATTAGAACTTCACTTGCCCCCTTTTATTCCAGAAAATAGGATAATTATTTAACTCCAGCCTAGCTGGGAGTTCTGAATTTTCTTAATTGTTTCTCTGAATTCTTAGCAGATCTTTGTTCACATTGAAAATAGACTGATATTATCTAGAAGTAGCTATGAAACTGTTTATAGATTTAAATATTTTAGAGATTTTTCATAATATTAGCAGTAGAAATAAAATCTTTTTTTTCAATTTGGCCATCCTATTTTTCTTTTATTGATTTACTGGTCTAAATTCTAAGGCACAAGTTACTATGGAAACACCACAAGAACCATTTGGCCTCTAATATTTCACTTTGCAAATGTGATGCTATAGGTTTAATGTGACATTCCACCCCATTAAAGGAGAGAAATTGAGTATTCAAAATAAGAGGGCCATCTCAGGGTTATTCTCAAATAGAATTAGCAGTTGGTGCAGAAGCTATTTAAAAAGGGTTAGTGGAAAATAGATTATTGCAAAAGCAAAAGAAAAGTGGTAAAGGCAGAGAGTATGCAAACTTAGAAAGTGAGGGTAGCTTAAGCAAGGCTAAAAAAAGTTTGGTTGGACTGAACTTGTGTAGGCTGACACATTTAGGTGCCAAGAAACCATTGTTGAGGAATAGAAGCCAAAGCATACATATTCACATTTTGGACAAGGAAGATTAATGGTTTGATAGAGGGTGAAGTAATCCACGTATCCCAAAGTGGAAAGTCCTCCCCTCCAGAGATATGGAGGCCTCAGAAACAACCTGTCCCCCATTTTTTATGCTGCTCTTGCATCAGTCCCAGGAAAATTAAGACCACTCCATGGGTTCTCCAGGGAAGCCACACTTCCCTCTAAGATAAAGGATTTAAGAGTTGAAACATTTACATCCTAGTGACTCTCTGTCTACTCACCTATGGAGCCTATCTAGATTTGATGAGAAATGAAAGCTCCCTGCAGGACGTACAGTGTATAGGGCCCCCTTAGCCAACTTGCTCAAGAAGCCATTTGGATAAGCAGCAAAACTTTTCAAACCTAAAAGGGAAAGATGTCCAGTTCCCATGACTCAACTTCTAGACAACTCTACCTGGATGACTGAGACTCTTCATCAACATCCATAAGATGTGAATACGGCTTGTGAATACAGGAATTCATTTTGAAAGTCAAGCTTGTCTTACTCATTACTGTTGACATTCAGAATTGAACAGTTCTTGATTAAAACACACAATTCGAGTGTACCACACTCCAGGTTCATGACATCGTATCAGACACCTTGAGCTTGGCACTATTCCCACTTGTATTTTATAGGAAAAGACTTCATTTTATAAGGCATAATAGCAATAGCATTTAGGCTTATATACTGCTTCACAGTGCTTTACAGCCCTCTCTAAGCGGTTTACAGAGTCAGCATTATTGCCCCCAACGATCCAGGTCCTCATTTTACTAATCTCAGAAGGATGGAAGGCTGAGTTAACCTTGAGCCAGTGGGAATAATAACATACTGCAGCTGTATTCCAGTACTGTTCCAGAGTTATTTAAAACAATTTAGCAGCAAACCACTGAGTGCAGCAAGCCTCTCTTTTTGAAAGAAATTTTCTTCCCATTATTTTTTTCCGCCATTTCCTTCCATCTTTATGGAAGGGTCCTCTTTTTCACCAAACCGATTAAACCATTCATGCTTTCCCTGAGACAGAGTTGGATTATTCCTACAGAGTGTGATCCTGTTATTTCATAAAATCTCTCAGGAACATTTATAATTATCAACCATGGTATCCTTCTGGAGAGGCTGAGGATTGAAGGTACTTTAACCTTACCTGTCTGGTTGATTCTCAGAAATAATTCTGAAGGATACATATTCAGTCCCTTGGCATTTATTCAATAAAAGAAAGGTTCTATTCAGTTCCTTAGGTTATATTAACATTTCCGTAGGTATGAGGCAATATGGATTATAAAGATTTGATTTCTCCTTTGAATTGAGTTCAAGCGAATATAACCAAGTCCCAAATTAGTGATGAACTGAATAAACCTAAGCTCACATGGAACCAAAGGAAGCAGTTTCATTTGCTTTATTTGCAATAATAGCTTCATTGCTAAAGTGCTCCTTGATCCATCATGGTCCCTGGAAATACAAAAAGTCTTTTTACCAACTATGATAGATAAAGAAGCTGTGATAGTCTGATCTCAGCTTCCCATCCTCCAATAGCATCCCAATTAACTCACCAGAATTCACTCTTTAGATGGTACCCTTTCCAGATTGTTCCAAAAGCTTCAAAACTGCATATGCAGTTCCTAACTCATTAAATTCCTTCTTTGGGTGGGATGAGACAGATTGCAAGGGAATAGGATCTCCTGCCATGGGCAGGGGATTGGATAAAAGATTTCCAAGGTTCCATCCAACTATATTATTCTATGTTCTATGTACTAAAACTGAACTTTAGAAGAGAAAATATTTATAGCTCAGGGTTGAACTATGGGGTCCTCAGTGGTCTTTGAGCTTGGTTGTTTTCTTGCAGACATTTCACTACCAAACTAGGAAAAATCATACAGCATTCAAAAGAGACAATAAAAAGCTAAGAAGGAAACAAAAAGACCTGAGCACATGCTCTCCAACCATCAGCATCCGAATAAACAAGGATTAATAATACCAAGCAAACAATCAAGCAGGACACAAAATCAAAATCAATGAATTATCAAGGAGAAAACCACATCCCACCAACCTCAGCAGGGCAACAGGGAGCAAATCCCACACTCACAAACACTGATGATGTTACCTAGTTTGGTAATGAAACATCTGCAAGAAAACAATCAAGCTCAGAGAGCACCAAGGACCCCATAATTGGACTTTGGTTTTACTTATAGGGTACTGGCCCCCTTGAGCTTCCCAGCTGAAATAGCAATTGCGATATGATATCCCATATTTAAGCTCCACATTCTAGCTGCTATGACAGTCTAGTAAAGTTATACTGAGTCAAAAATGTACTAGGATCACAGCAAGAGTTTTTCTGCATCAAACACCATGCTTGACAGCTGTGTGATGAAGAAAAGTAACTGAGATTCCAAGGCATGCTTTGCTTTCTCCTTCATTTCACTGGTTATACAAAAGGCACTGCAAATATGTTACTGTTTCCTATTTTGCCTTGAATCCTTCTGGTTGTTAATGGGATCCAGGGAATGAGGTATTCTCCTCACTAGAAACTAATGCATTATTGCCTAGGGCACCAGTTTAATTATTTAGGGACCAAGCATTAAAACATAATTGTTTTCCTCTGAACCTTCACCAGCAGCATTCTTCTTTTTTCTCTCCCTTCCCTTAATTTCTTTTATTATGCTTACTCATTTCTGCCGGGAATTTAAATTGTTTCACAATTTTACAATGCACAAACTTCAGCCAAGAAAGTAGGAGGATAAATGGGTTGGTGATTACATCCCTCCCCATTCCTCTCTGTCCTCATTTCACATCCCCAAATAAGGCAGAAAAGCTCCTTCATGGAAAGGGGAAAAGCAAAAGAAAAAAGACTTTTAAAAATCCTTCATCAAAATAAGTCATCATAGTCTATTTAATGGCATAATCTCCTTTCCATCGGTAAGTAAATATTGGATAAAAAAATAAAATGTTATTTGATAGCACATGTAAAATCTTAGTTTCTTTCTGATTGAAACTCATGTCATTTCACATTACTGACCATAGGCATGAACGGTCTTTCATGAAATGTATATCTACTTGGTTATCAGCAAAACTCATATGAAATTGTGGTCTGCTTGAAATTCTGATGTTGTCTCTTCAAAGAATAATCACAAATTATCTCAGATATACGAGTAATAATCCACTAATATATCAGGCTTCTGTCCAAGAGGTGTTTTTTTTTCTAGAATGGAAGAAAGTACAAGGTATTCCTAGAAGATAATTGGAGGCAGAGGAAATTTGTAGTATTGTCCCTGTAAGCCTGGGGGCGGGGTGTCATAGCCTGTTTGGTCCATATCAGTTTTCTTTTAGCAAGCTGGACTCTACACAGGCACTTAAGGATACAAGAATGTCTCTTGAGTAGCAAAATAACAGAGTTGGAAGGGATTTTGGAGATGTTCCAGTCTTTACTCAAGTAAGAGATCTTATACCAAATGGTTGTCCAATTTTTTATTAAAAATGTCCAGTGTTGGAGTACCCATAACTTCTTTTTTATTAAAAACGTCCAATGTTGGAGCACCCATAAAGGCAAGTCATTCCATTAATTGTTCTAGCTATCAGGACATTTCTTCTTAATTCTAGATTGGTTCTTTCCTTGATTAATTTTTATCCATTGCTTCTTGATTCTCTATTGCCATTTGTAGAAATGCTAAAGAAGCTATAACAGAAGAATTTCTGTTACTGCTACATATCCAATGCAAGATCTAGTTATAATGAAACAGAATTTTAAATATGTCCAAAGAATGGCACTCCTTAGATATCCCAGAGGTGCTTTTTGATCTGCATGATTGAGACACACCTTAGATGGAGTAACATGAAGTTTCACTTACATGCTTGGTCTCTAGTTTGTCATAATGCTGGGAATCAATCTCTCTCTTTCATTTTTTTTCTCTCTCAACAAAATAAGTTCAACTGTCCTCAGCTAAAATCATTGAAATGTTGTCTTTCATCCTGAGTCTGCAGTATTCTTTTCTGTTGATGACATTGTACATCTGCTCTACCTTAAGAGTGCATTTTCATAGTGAGGACAGCTTGATGCATAATCAGAGCAACAGAAGCCTATCACCTTTAATAGGAAGTGACCCCTAAAATTTGCTCGATCATTATCTGTTGATTGATAGAAAGGAAATTTTAAAGGGAGACCCTAGAAATTGTATTACTGTTAATACTTCAAATCGGCTATTGGCATAGACATTCATGGAGGAAAATAAATTGCAGGACTTATCAAAATCAAGAAAAATATGACCTTCAGGTTAGTCTTTCATATTTTCATAATAATGCATAAATACTAGATAAGTAACACAAAGAACAAACCTAAACAGTAAAAATACTTGGGATAAAACTTAAGGGAGGGAATATTAGAGATTTGTTTGGGAATGACAGAGATACATTTAACAGCAGAAGAGCTTCTTCCAAATCAATTTAACCCTTGATGTCTCCTATGGGATCATCTGGGATGGTACCAAAGCATTTATGAAGGCTTTGCTAATCTCTCTAGCATCAAGTAGGCAGAAAGCCATGTGGAAACAGAAGGATGTATTGCTGAATGATCTGAAACAATTAAAATCAAGGCATCAACTCAAGCCAGTTTGGACTTAGGACAAAAAACAAAACCAACTAGATTTAATAGAATAACAGAATTGGAAAGAGTAAATAATAAAATTCCGCTTCTTTCTCAACTATTTCAATAAAGGCAATGTCAGATAAATTGTTGAGCTGTCTAAAAAGAATAAGATACAAAAATTATTACCTCGGTCTGGAATGGAACCAAACAAGTTCCTGCAATGTAAGAGATGATAGGATAATTTGTTGACTATCATTCCAGATTATTTAGTAAACAGACCAATCTGGAGAAGATTTAAGTCAATTTGAAGAAAAATTAGCTTACTGTGAACAAAAATAAAATCCTTAATCAACCCATAATGGTAGATATCTTGGGGTGGAAGTCCATCTATAGGAGTCTAAGCTTTTGATATTGAGAATTTATGCTCCAAATGAAGATCAAACAGCATTTTGCAAAAGATTTATGGATAATCTTTTGGAATTTTTATATGAAAATTGGTGCCTTCTGGGAGATTAGAACAGAGTGGCTTCGCTACAAGAATAGTAAAATAACACAAAAAAACTAAAATACCAAATACTTTTTTTAAATTTATGAATGGATAATTTGGAGCTTGATGTGTGTAGATATAAAAATGGAAATTCAAAAGAATATATTTATTCTTCTGAAAAACATAGATCCGTCTCGAGAATAGACATGATTTTGATTTCTAAGACACTGGCTAATATTGTTTACAAAGTGGAGATTTTCAAGTCGTAATTTTTAACTTTTAAAAGGAATCCTGGGTCTTTTAGGTGAAGATTGAATGAGAAGTTATTACAAAAAGAAAGGTGTGGTCTGTAAAAAGAAGTTCAAGGAAGTTTTGAGAATAATCTTAATAAGGGCACAGAAGTGAGGAAGGTTTGGAATGCAAATATAAATTTTGTAAGAGGTTATTTTATACAATGCAATAGTGAATTAAAAGGAAAGGGCAAGAGAAAATACAGATGATTTTGGATGAGATTTTAAAAAGTATGAATTTTAAAATAATCTCTAAGGATGAAAGCTATAACTCCTCAAATTAAGCTTTTACTGAGCCAATTGTCTATGTTAATAGTGAGACAGAGGGGAGAAAAGATGAACTATCCAAAACAAAGAAATTTTGAATTTCAAAATAAACCGGGGGGGGGGAGAAAAAGAACAGAAAGTGATATTAAAGTTACAAGAAAGGACTGCTCTGATAACCAATGATGTGAATGTACGAAAGTACATAAGGATCAAGAAATTTCTTCAGGAAAATCGTATGAATACTTGCATAAACAGAATTTACCTAAGATTATAGACAATCAGAGACTAACTTTGAATGGACCTATGACAATAAGGGAGCTTTGTGAAGCTATCAAAAAGATTAAAACAGGAAAGGTATCGGATCCAGAAGAGCTGATGGCTTCTTATTACCAATGTTTTGAAGAGGGGCTTTTACAACCATTTCAAAAAAATACTAAAGACTATTTTGCAGAATGGGAAGATTACTGATATTTGGAAGGAAACTAATGTAATCTTAATACCTAAACAGAAAGAAGATTTACTTTAAGGATAAATTATTGACCTCCATCTTTGTTAAACAATGATTATAAATTGCTAACTATGATTTATTATGATTAATATGATTATGCCATTGCTTACTATGATTACTGTGTCCAGAAGAGGCCAGACAGCCATTTGTCTGGAACGGAATCGGGTTTTCTGCTTGAACAGAGGGTTGGATTAGAAAACCTCCAAGGTCTCTTCCAACTCTGTTATTCTGTTAAAAGTTGGCTGAAAAGCTGAAAACAATTTTAGAGGATTTCATTCGTGAAGATCAGTGTGGGTTTTTACCCAAAAGATAACTATTTGATAATATTAGAAATGCTGTGAATATTCTGGAATATTTGCAGCAACGTAATGAAAACAATTATCCACTGAATTCTTAGATGCAGAGAAATCCTTTGACAATTTAGACTAGATTTTTGATTTTTTTTTTTGGTTTGGAATCTTAGAATATAGGAACCTTGGAGAAAGCACAAATAATTTGTAATGGAGAACTAATAAAACCTTGTGAGATTCAAAAAGGGATAAGACAAAGGAAAGTACATGAAATCCAGCTGCTTCCATAAAAGGAATTGTTAGCACTAATAATCAGAAAACAATAGGCAGCCGTTATATAATTGTGTCCACTTTTGTTTATTATGGGACATGCGGTATTGAATAGCAATATAAGACAAGATCAGAGAATTATGAAAATGAAGATTAAAAAAAGATTTTCATAAATTAAGGGCATTTGAAGATGATTTAGTGCTAATTTTAGAAGATCCACTAGAGGGAGTAGAAGCATTAATGGGAAAAATTAAAAGACTTTGATAGTTAATAGGTTTCAAAATTAATAACCAGAAGACAAAGATGTGAAAATAATGAAACCAAAATATCAAATAGAAGTGAAGAACAACCTGAAACAACATTTTATCATCGTGGACATGTAAGAAAACTAAACAGTTTTGGAACCCAATACGTATTTGATACAGAGGAATTTAAAGATAAATATTCAATTGACTAATGGATAAAAAGTTAGAAAGAAATCATGTAAGATTATTTCAGTATATAATTACAGCAATGAGATGCAGAGAGTCAATTAAAAATTAGCTACCAGTCCTACCAAACTGGTATGAACCGGTTGAATCCCACCACTGGTGTTGCCACAAAGAAGAGGAGTCAAGCTATTATCCAAAGCACCTGAAGGCAGGACAAGAAGCAACGGATGGAAACTAATCAAGGAGAGAAGCAACCTAGAACTAAGGAGAAACTTCCTGACAGTTAGAACAATTAACCAGTGGAATAACCTGCCTCCAGAAGCGGTGAATGCTCCAACACTGGAACTCTTTAAGAAGAGACTGGACAGCCATTTGTCTGAAATGGTATAGGGGGTTGGACTAGATGAAGTTCCAAGGTTCTTTCCAACATTATTATTATTATTATTATTATTATTATCTTGGATGAGAAGCAAAATGTCTTCAAGGAAAAACAAAGTCCAATTGCCTTTTGAAAAAGCACCTTTTTGTCAATACGGTATACTTTTGACTTTCCTATTTCCTCTTTTATTCTCAAAAATTTTGATGGTTATCATTATAGGCTCTGGAGAGCAAGCTTCAGAATAACTTGCCTTTGCTGATAAAACATCAAACACAACTGAAGACTGATAAAGGACAATATTTGTAGCTTAGGATTGAAATGAGGGGTCCTTAGTGCTCTCTGAGCTTGGTTGTTTTCTTGTAGACCACGGATGTCAAACTTGCCATGTCACATGACGTGTCTCAATGTATCATGACTTTTTTTTTTTTTTTTTGCATTGCTGGAACTGGGGTGAGCGCGGCCTCCGTATGATGCAACCGGCCTGTGGGCTGGCAGTTTGACACCCCTGTTGTAGAAGTTTCATTACCCAAACTAGGTAACATCAGCAGTGCTCTGATGATTTTACCTAGTTTGGGTAATGGAACATCTGCAAAAAAACAACCAACCTCAGAAAAATCACCAAGAATCCCACCATTTAAGACTAACAGCCAGCATACTATCTAACAAAAAAATAGCTAGCCAGCACCTCATATTTCTTATTTATTTATGCATTGGGCTGAAAATTTATCCTTTGATTGTAAAACACTCTTTCATTTTTTTCCCTTGCTTATTTTTTTCCCAAGAAGTACTAGTCAGTAGTCGTAAGAAGTCTAATCAAGGGGGTGCAAAAGATCACACTGATTTTGTGCTATCTCTATCACCTTTTTGCCATGATTTGAGATAACCCGTCTAAGGGCAGATTTCAAACAAAACTATTTTTCGGTACTTAACACCTATGATATTAAAGGCCAGCATTCTTTTGTTTGTACATTTCAATTTTCTGTCATCTGGAATAATAATGACACCTTCCTTTTGTTTTAGAAGAATCTATATATTGGTTCCCTAAAAATCTGCTATGGCATATGATTTCATCTGCAAACTTTTCAAGGCATCCAATTGCTAGCTACAATTTCAACTTGCTAAAAATTAAAATCCAATCTGTCTTCCTAGAAAGTAATCCTTTTCTTTTCTGTCAGCAATATAAAGCAGAACATGAACCTCACTTTATGGACTGAAAAGCACCACAGGAATAATTGAAAAATAAACATGTTCCTGAAATATAATGAGGTATGCAATTTGTCTTACAATTCACCCTTAATAATGTTCCACTGTTTGGTTTTCTACTACTTCTGATTTTGAGAGTAAATAAGTTGATAAGTTGACATATTTTAGAGGTCATCTCAAATGAAAGCTGCAAAACCAAGGTATCATAGTTGTTTATTTTATGCTCATCTCTCACTCTTCCACACTCTAGACTGAGAAATAAAATTTAATCTTAAATGTTATCCACATGTTTTAGATTTAATAACTGACTTACATCTGTTCTAGTTTGAATTAATTTAAGAAGATAATAGGTGATCAATTCCCACTATTTTATAGTGACTCTCTTATAATTTCTTTCATTGATTTGAATTCAGACATTCAATGTTTAGAGTAGAACAATGACCAACTTATTTCTCAACAGGTTTCAAGATGGAATCTGGGTCAGTCACCAGGACCAGAGATTTACTCTTTCGAGTTTTCGGACTCATGCTGTAGCCCATCTTAAGGGAACTTCTCCCTACTGGAATATACGCTTTGGCATAAGTCTGAAAGCTTGGAAGAGTAAACTTCTCATCCTGGTGGCTGACCCAGATTCAATCTTGCAACATTATGAAGTATTAATACCACTCTACAATGCCTTGGTAAGGCCACACTTGGAATACTGCATCCAGTTTTGGTCACCACGATGTAAAAAAGATGTCGAGACTCTAGAAAGAGTACAGAGAAGAGCAACAACGATGATTAGGGGACTGGAGGCTAAAACATATAAGGAATGGTTGCTAGAATTTGTGTGTCTAGTTTTAACGAAGAGAAGGACAAGGGGGGACATGACAGCAGTATTCCAATATCTCAGGGGCTGCCATAAAGAAGAGGGAATCAAGCTATTTTCCAAAGCACCTGAAGGCAGGACAAGAAGCAACGGGTGAAAACCAATCAAGGAGAGAAGCAACCTAGAACTACGGAGAAACTTCCTGACAGCGAGAACAATTAATCAGTGGAACAGCCTGCCTCCAGAAGCAGTAAATGCTCCAACACTGGAAGTTTTTAAGAAGAGACTGGACAGCCATTTGTCCAAAATGGTGTAGGGTTTCCTGCCTGAGCAGGGGGTTGGACTAGATGACCTCCAAGGTCCCTTCCAACTTTACTACTACTATTATTATTATCCTGGGACACGTATATTTGTCTTCATTCAATGAGTTTCCTTCAAAACAGTCTTTGCAACACTGCATAGAAAATCTTCTGTTATCTTTGTGCCCTCCAAATATATTAGTACAATAGTTCTCAAATATTAGCTAATGGTCCTGTTGGTTAGAAGTTCTGGGAATTGCAAATTTAAGCATTTGCAACAGCAACAAGCTAGGAATAGTTGCCATATAGCATTTATTTTAAAAGAAAAAGTAAAGTCATTTTTGTTGCTAAATAGCACCTTGGAAAACAAATGGTGTTTTGGGTGTTGACTGCCAATTTTCAAATTTCTCCACCTGATACAGGAACATAGAACCCAGAATAATAGGATGGGAAGGGTCCTTGGAAGTTTTCTAATCCAACCCATTGCTCAAGCAATGCAAAAGTTTAGGCATGCCTGGTCAAACTGTATATTTCAGTGAATCCCTAAGTCAAAAGAAGCTCACCCAACATGTGCCTGATACAAAACACAACCTCTTTCCAATACTTGGAATGTCTGTCTGCTTACTTTTTTATGTGCAATTGTTTATAGATTTGAAATAAGAAAATAGTGAATATATCAAATGCAGAAGCTTGGGCAATCTTCCAAGTGATTTGGTGTTTCTTTTTTTTTACTCTAGTATTTTTAATAATATCCAAGAAGGGGACTGAATTATCTACAGTTAACCAGATAAAAACAATTCCCTGGGTGAACAAATAGACTGTGACAATTGTTTTGTCTGCCATCAACAAGTATGGGGTTTGCTAAACAGCTGTCTCAGCATTTGGAAGCAAAGATAATTCTATATACAAAATCTCTAACTGTTTTCAGCCAGCAATTTCAACTGTGAGAAGCATTGTTAAGAAAAGGCAGTTACATGGAATTGTTGAAGTCTGAAATACGAAGAAAAACTGCTAGAGCAGCCTGCAAAATGGTTAGCAGTGAAAAACAGAATCTACAAATCACTATATAATGAGCTGCTGAAAAATTTAGTTGACAACGGAGGAGTTGTCCAGAGATTTGCTTATACAACAATAATATGCGTACAAGAGATATGAAGAGGAAATGTTTTCTTTAACTTCACCAAAATTTACATAAAACAAAACCCCGATTAAATCCAAAACTCTTTGGAACAACAATTGAGCAACAATTCAATCAGAAGGGTACACAGGTAGTCCTCGACTTACAACTACTATGGAGCCCAAAATTTTTGTTGCTAAGTGAGACATTTGTTAAGTGAGTTTTGCCCCATTTCATGAGTTTTCTTTCCATAATTGTTAAGTGAATTACTGCAGTTGTTAATTTAATAACATGATTGTTAAGTGAATCTGGCCTCCCTTTTGACTCTGTTTATCAGAAAGTTGCAAAAGGGTCATCATATGACCCTGGGACACTGCAACCATCATAAATATGAGAAGTTGTCAAACATCTGGATTTTGATCACGTGACCATGGGGATGCTGCAATGGGCGTAAGTGTGAAAAATGGTCATAAGTCACTTTTTTCAGTGCCGTGATGACTTTGAATGATCACTAAATTAACTGTAGTAAATTGAGGACTACCTGTACAAAGTTTGGTACCTGCTATGTTCTCTGTTTCCTTATGTTGAATCTATAAACAACTGCACATCAATATTAACCATTCATTCAAATTTTCAGAAAGTTGTTATGTTCAATTATAACTTTAAAAAAATCAACATTTTGTAGAAGATAGTATCAGAACATTTTACTAGAGTGTTTACACTCTATATTAAGACTCTGAAATCATTTTAAGATTTTGTTGGTTTTCTTACTTTTCACAGGCTTACCCATGGAAGTCAGATAAGGTGTATATTGCAAGGCTAGCTTCTCCTTAGATAAATATATTCTCAGAAATGTTAGAGCAGGGGTCCCCAACCTCCAGTCCGTGGACCGGTACCGGGCCGTGGCATGCCAGCAACTAGTCCGTACAAAAAAGCAAAGCCCTATCTGTGGGATGCAGGGAGCATACAAAACACACTCTCCTTTCTCCACAGAACCGGTCCCTGGTGCCCAAAAGGTTGTGGACCTCTGTGTTAGAGGCCCTAAAAAAAAAAGAAATGAAGTTCCCTGTATGTATCAATAAGCTAAGAGGTAGAATAACCACATTTTAAATAGGCATCTTCTTCGCCTTTGTTTTTCCAAATCCTCCTGCAACCCAACTCTAATTGCTATGGGAATTGTCCCTGGGAGAGGGTTCCTTTGCAGCAGCATCACCACCAAACCTTAAAAGGAATACATTTATTTTAATACACTCTTCATCTACTTCAGATGATAAGTGTTATGTTGGCTTTAACCCTGTGTTGAAAATTTCTGCAACGTCTTCTCTTATTTACTCTGAAGGAAGAGGAATTGCTTTCAGAATTCATTACAAAACAAATTCTTATGGGTGTGGTGTGACTTTTTTACATTTGTTAAGTTGCAAAGTAGCCAAGTGGGCGACTCCTTCCTCGTATAATGTTTCCCAGCATCTCCAAAATTATCACAACTACAATTAAATCCTAAGGGCAAACTTCACGAAGAGGCTCCTCTGGTTGGCTTTTTAAAACGTAGAAGTCCCAGCACCTACAAAAAATTCACAATTATGAAAAGTTGTTCTTAAGAAACCCTTTTCCAATAATCAAATGAGTGCAGAAGAATCACACACGCACAAAAAAAAAAAAAATAGAATGAAATTCTCCCATATCCGGAGAATAAGATTGTGATACTAAAACTATTTTTTTTTAACAAGAAAAGAGAAATTAGGAGAAATTGCAAGATTAATTGCTTTCCAATCTTAGGTGGGTTACAACCTTGTATTGGTGATGGATTGGTAGTTGGTTGTTTAAGTTAAAAACACTAAGATCAGTGCAAAGAAGCTGCCAAAAGTCTGGAAAGGTTATCTATCTAAATGAGATGTGTAGCATACTTTCTTTTATGCATACCTTCTGTACTGTACATGGCAGTGTGACATAATGGAAGTTCTGTATATCTCTCTAATAAATTAAGGGAAGGTGGGCTGTATACAGGTAGTCCTCGACTTATGACCACAACTGAGTCCAGAATTTATATTGCTAAGCGAGACATTTGTTAAATGAGTTTTGTCCCATTTTATGACCTTTCTTGCCACAGTTGTTAAGTGAATCACTGCAGTTGTTAAGTGAATAACATGGTTATTACGTGAACCGGGTTTCCCCTTTGTCTTTGCTTGTCAGAAGGTTGCAAAAGATGAAAACATGATCTCAGGATCCTATAACAATTTATATAATAAATATATAAATATGAACCAGGTGCCAGGCATCAAAATTTTGATCAGGTGACCATGGGGATGCTGCAATGGTCATGATTGTGAAAAATGGTCATAAGTCATTTTTTCAGTGCTGCTGTAACTATGAATGGTCACTAAATGGACGGTTGTAAATTGAGGACCATCTGTATGCCATCTGGAGAATTTCTACTATCCCTTCTTGCGCCACCACTCAGTGCTAGGACCTGCATGTCCTCTAGAGCTAATATACTGTACATGGTCATCTAAACTGTAATGGTCCATGAGTTCAGACAGGGTAGATATTTATTTATTTGATTCTTTTTTTTTTTATCCAGTGGGCTTTCATGACTAAGGTGGGATTAGAGCTCACTGTCTCTAGTTTCTAGCCTGGTACCTTAACCACTAGGTCAACCTGGCTATGTAATCATTTTCTGTAAGAAAGAAAAGTGTCATAATAAGAAAACAAAGTATAATTTATTAGAAACATCTATAATTCTGGATATGAGATATCAAATAATAACTACACATGTATGCAAAAGTTCTCCTGTAATCTGCTACTTTTGTAATTAATTTGACAGCCTTTCAAGGGATGGTGTGTTGTTACCTTGCTATTTCCACCTCTACGGTTTTTAAAACCAGGCAAAGCTGCAGTATAAGATGTGGTTTCATTTTGTGCACATAATGCACTCACTGGAACCTGCATCCATTTTTCTTGCATATCTGTTATTGTTGCTGACTGTCATGCTCTATGTCAGAAACACAGTGCAGGAGTTTCAAGAGTGGATTGGATTTTTTTATTTTTTATTTTTTTAGGCAAAGCCACCTGTTTCAGAAGTTTGACAACTCTCCAGGAAAAGGTGCCATGTTTTTTTTTTAATTGAAAATTTTATAAACTTTTTACAATAAAATACCTCCCCCTCTCCCACCCACAGACAAGAATGTTTTAAAATAAGAATATCGGAGAGTGAGAGTCTTGGAGAGTGAGAGCATTGCTTTATAATTCTAATTGGCATTGCTTTATAATTCTAATTCCCACTTTTTTCCCTAGAGTCCTTTCCAGTGCTACTGGAATGACCAGGGGTTAGAAATTAGACCTCTGCCTACAAGGCACCAGTTCAACCAGTAAGCTACAGCCCTTTTCTTCATCTCAGAAATGTTGGTGACTAGTGCCCGGAGAGCAGACATGGAGTTTGTGGGAATCAAAAGAAATGGTTATATAACATTTTGTAATTTACTACATTTTCCCATTGGTGGAACTCTTATCAATTTCTCAAGGAAGGAAGGAAGGAAGGAAGGAAGGAAGGAAGGAAGGAAGGAAGGAAGGAAGGAAGGAAGGAAGGAAGGAAGGAAGGAAGGAGCCAGTATTTCACAGTTCTTCTGAACCTACTAAAAAAATAGTAAGAATTCAACAGCTTCACTATTGTATGATTTTTATATCATGGTAGCTGTCTAGTACAAAAAGGCTGTTGAAGCCAAAGAGCCAGGAGAAGGATGGGGGTGAGTGGGGGGCAGTACCGGCCAAAATACAGACCAACTCATTGAAAAAAGACATGTGCAGTCAGACCAGACTTTCTTTACCTGCATGAGGGAAGAGGAAAAATGAGAAGGCAGACAGTTTGAATGGATATCACCATCCCAGCAGCCCAAGGGTTGGCTGGAGATGGCTTCATCCCTTACTGCCATCACAAAATGGTAAGTAGCCCATCCTTGCACTGGGACAAGCAAGATGTTCAGATTAGCCCCAATTACAGCCCACGTGATGTGTTGTATATTATGCTACCGTAGCTTATTTGCAAAGAGTTTGAAAACTTTAGCTGGTTTACACTGCTTATATGTGGAGCTTCTTTCTTAAAATATTTTCACCAGTCAGAAACACCATTGAGAAAGTTGCTTTCCATTTTGATTTTGCAAAAACAAGTGGGTTTTTAAACTATCTCTTAAAAATATAGAAGATGTATGGTAGAAATCAGTTCCTCATATTGTCCTTCTTTAAGCTCATATAAATTGACCCTAGATACTCATTGACCTTAGAGTTTTATACCATCTACCTGTGTTTCATTTACTTGTCAAGTTTCTGCTTCAAAAATTATTTATTCATCCTGAGACATAAATTTTCTTGATCGCTTCTGAACAGCTGTCAGATAACATTTTATTATTTGGTATCTACTTTGTGTCCATATCAACTGTTGATTCCCATCTCAGGGGACAAAAGCTTCGGGATTTCTCAAACTAGGATCAACAAAGTAATTTGGCTGTCTGGTTCCACTGGATGCTAAAAAGGAACTGAAGCCTAGTACTAGACTTTCTTTAATATATTCAGCTCAAGTTGGCAGAGATGATCAGACTGGACGATAGAAGGATACCACACTATGATATTAAATTTAATGATGAACTGGGAGGGGGGAAATCTTTTGGCAGTTAGAACCAACAAAACTTCTGTACAATGCATCAGCTTAAAGAACTGTAGCTTGTTGAAGAAAGGAAAGTGTCTATAAACAATAGGGAGTGACTCAAGTCAAAAAGACAAACTATACACGGGGTGAAGGCCACTGAGCAATTGTTTTATAGGCATATCATCATGTTGCAGGCTTAATTCATAATGGCAATACCAATGCAAAAACATCAGCTGCTGCAGGAAATTACGGCATTGAGCTCTTTGTAGCAGGGTGCACAAAGAATGGAGGTGTACCAGTGTTTGAAGAAGTGAATTATCTGGTAAAGATCTTTGTCTCTCCCTTTCCACCCTCTTTCTCCTCCCCTCCCCTCACCCCACCCCTCACACCCCACCCCACCCCACCCCATCCCATCCCATCATCTGTAGACAATTGTATTTGTAGAGGAAAGATTAACTGCATCCACACTAATGCTGAGAAATGTTTCCTCTGTCTAGGTCACCTAGAATGTTGAAAAATTGAAGCCATCTACAGAAATTGAAGCCCTGGCTGTTCCCAGTGATAGAAGGCTGGGCCATTTAGACCCATCTAGTCAGTTCCCAGTTTGCCTGTCATGGATCCTGCCTCCCCATTAGGGATAAGACCTTTGGATTTCATCCATTAGGAAGTTAACCTATGGTGCTGGGCTGCCTGTAGAGAGATAAATATGTACATAACCTCTGAACTGAAAAAGTTGATCTTAATTTATATACTGTAGTTCGTTGATTTGTTTAACTCATTTTGCCTTCTTAATTGGGTCAGGGGACCATTTGCTAATGCTTGGTAGATAAATTTATTTGGAAAAAAATGTTTTCATAACTCACATATTTAAATAAATAAAAGATTAATGGAGAAATTAAATATTTTTTGTTTTGTTTTGTTTTCAGTGAGTTTATTTGTTGGTCCTCAGAATGCTGAGGAACTAGAACTCAGCAGTGTGTGTGGGGGAGGAAGGCTGACCCTTTTGTTACTTGCTGGCCTTCCTTTTATTAGTTTATGGAGTGCTCCCACATGGGAAACTTCCTTGACTATGGCAATACAACACAAAAGGCCTTTTAGTTTGTGTCATAAGAAATAATACAGCTGCCAGAGTTTTCAGTTTTAACTTTTGTACTTGTGCTATCTGAGTGCCATTCATATTTACCAGGCAGCAAACTTTATTGAAAGCTGTGGGATTTTCTTCCAAGGAATACAGATACGAATGCACTATTGGGTAAAGCAATGGAGACAAGCTAGAAATATATGCAGCAAGATCCTGTAGCCATTCAATAAGGAAAGCCCATGAAAGCTAATGGAATTGTAAATGTGCATCGAACTACAGCCTCAAGGCTCATCATAACACCCCACTAATCATGAAGATATCTCACTAAATATTTTTTAAAAAGAGCTGTAATGGCACAGAGGTTAGAATGCAATTGTGCAGGCTAACTCTGCCCATAGCCAGGAGTTTGAAGATGGCCAGCTCAAGGTTGGCTCAGCCTTCCATCCTTCCAAGGTCAGTAAAATGAGGACCCAGATTGTTGGGGGCAATTATGCTGACTCTGTAAACTGCTTAGAGAGGGCTGAAAAGCACTGTGGAATGGTATAAGTCTAAGTGCCATTACTATTGCTATTAAGAGGTATGGTCTTGTGAGGCAGCTTTTCTTCTTAGCCCACAAGAGGAGCAGTGAAATTAATCTGTAGCTTCTTTAGTTAATTTATATTAGCTAGATTATTTTTTTAAGTCTTCCCCTGAGGTAGAAATGATCCTTCATAATCTTGGTGATCATAAATCAGGGATTAAAATAGTTCAAGTTCCTACAAGCCAGCTGAGGCTATTGCAGGCAGATTCTTCCTCCTGGTCATGGATCACTGTGTTTCATATCCATTTTGTTTGGGCCTGTATGGGAAATTGGACACTTGTTTTCCATAGATAGCTAGATGGATGGATGGATGGATCAGTGGATGGATGGATGGAGATAAATATAGATTAGATTAATAAATAGATGATAGATAGATACAGAGAGAGAGAGAGAGAGAGAGAGAGAGAGAGAGAGAGAGAGAGAGAGAGAGAGGATAAATGTAGAAGCTAGATAGAAATGTGTGTGTGTGTGTGTGTGTGTGTGTGTGTGTGTATTTTCTGAGGTTTTCGCGGGTGTTTGTATATAGGTCTTTGGTTATTCGGGTTTTCTCCCGCGTCAAATTGGAAGTGTCTTGGTGATGTTTCAATGAAGTCTCATTCGTCATCTTCAGGCTGGTGTCGTTGGCTTCGTGCTTCTAGAAGCATGAAGCCAAAGACACCATCCTGAAGATGACGAATGAGACTTCGTTGAAACGTTGCCAAGACACTTCCAATTTGATGCGGGAGAAAACCCGAATACCAAAGACCTACATACATATAAGTTTTTAAATAAATTTTTAGTCTCAGTGTTTTAGTTTATATATATATATATATATATATATATATATATATATATATATATATATATATATATATATATATCCAAATTTCTTTTTTTGTTTATATATCCAAATTTATATATCCAAATTTCTTTATATATCCAAATGTTCACTTTTGGCAATGGTTCTGGTATTTTTAAAGTCAATACCAGAACCATTGCCAAAAGTGAACATTTTAATAACAGAATAATCAGAGAAGCCATCGAGATAGAAAAACACCCACACAGCATGAACAAGCGAGATGATACCTCCCTCCTACCAGCCATTTGGAAACCTGCCCTTATTGACAAACGACTCCCTAACACAAAAAATGATACCAGACCCACACTCACAAAAACCACACAGGATGTCACCACCACACATCCACGCAAAAAACAAACCCAAAGCCACACCGATGATGAGGCACGACCACAAACCAGAAGCCAGACCACAGCTGCATCATTAGCCACTTTAAACCCCTCCAATCCATACATGAAGCAAACTGACACCCTCCATGAAGATGAGGCACGACCACGAACGCGAAGCCAAAAAATAGCAAGGCAGCCCAAAATCTTAAACCCCTCTGCAACTCAGACTAACCTGAGCACAACCAAACAGAACACTCCCCCAGCCAATCAGAGCACAGCCAACCCCCCAGCCAATCAGAGCACAGCCAACCCCCCAGCCAATCAGAGCACAGCCAAGCCCCTAACCAATCAGAACACACCTCCACCCAATCAGAACACAGCCAAACTCCCACCCAATCAGTTCATACCCCCACTGGCAGAAACAGCTAAGACCACACATTGCTACTCGAAGCACGAAGCTGAAAACACCAGCCTGAAGATGACGAATGGGACTTCGTCGAAACGTCGCCAAGACACTTCCAATTTTACGCGGGAGAAAACCCGAACAACCAAAGACCTACATACAAACACCCGCGAAAACCTCAGAAAACAAATACACACACACACACACACACACACACACACACACAAATAGTTTTGAAGATATGAGTCTCAGGTATATTCATATTCAAAAACTAAAACACTGAGACTAAAACTTTATTTAAAAACTTAGCTTTCGTCAGCGTCTGCTGACATCATCAGAGTTCTAGCCAGGATTGAGAATCACGTTCTTGTAGTCTTTGTGATGCCAAGCATTTGGCTAACAGGGCGGAGGGAGCTGAATAGACCGGTAACACAGTCATTAGCCAAATGCTTGGCGTCACAAAGACTATAAGAACGTGATTCTCAATCCTGGCTAGAACTCTGACAATGTCAGCAGACGCTGACAAAAGCTAAGTTTTTAAATAAATTTTTAGTCTCAGTGATCTGTGTTTTAGTTTTTGAATATAAATAAATAAATAAATAAGCATTTTTCCCTTGTTTAGAGCTTTTATTAGTTTGATAATTTAGCAACAGAAAGAAAAATGATCCTAGCCAATAGTTATTTCAGAAGCTTACAGCTTCTAAAACATTTACCAGTCTATTGGATACCCTAGCAGTGTAAAAGCAAGTTGCCAATTATATAATTGGAAACAATAGACCAAATGCCCCCCTGGGGGGCACCAAATTCTCCTTTCAGAGGCTTCCCTCATGCATTTGTATTTAGTGTTTCTCTTCTAATTGGTGATTCTGCCCTAGCTTCCAAGATTACTAGACATAAATTCCTAATAGCTATATAGTTTACTGGTACAAAAAGAAAGAGAATTAATGAAGATAATAATGAAGATAATAATGTAGCAACTTGCAACCGAGTGGGATGAAGCAGGATGGGAAAGATCAGAAGTTTACAAAGAACTCCCAAGACAACATAATTAACTATAGACTTTCTGTCAAGTGTTAATATATCATGAAAGGTAATGTGAAAAGATCCCAAAGAGTTGTCATTAGTAGCGAAAAGATGCTTAGATTCCAGTGCTTGCACAAAGTGCGCTCTCTCTCTCTCTCTTTCTTATTCTCTCTCTCTCTTTCTCCTTCTCTTTCTATTTCTCTCATATTCCAAATTAAATAAGGAAAAGAAATCAAGATTTTTTTGGCCACTGTTTTGAACAAAGAAATGCCTATACTCTATGCTTGAGTGCATTCTGTAAGCGTCACCAAAAACTGAGAAAATTTATGAGCAGCCAGGGACAAACGTTTTGGGTTTCTTTTCCTCCTTGTCTTCTCATGTAAACTCAGATATGGTCTCTACTACTCCGTCCCAGACCGTGTATCTAAAATCATTCTATTTCATGCATGCTGCCCATTTTTATGCTACTTTGCTTTCTTCAAAATATGTTAATGAAGGACTTGCGTGTTGAAGAGTTTGAAGCATTGGCCATAGAATTATACAAATTGCAGTTTCACCTCATTTAATTTGCTGACAGTCGTGCAATAAATCAGATTTATTTATTTATTTATTTATGTATTTGGAGCCATATAAATAATTCAGTTGCTTTGTTTCAGTAATTGCCTGCAAATATTCTTCACATATGAAAGCTGTTTGTGTGTAACTTGATAAATACACGACACTTCTGAGGGGCAAAATTGAGGGGAAGAATTTCCTTCAGTCCATATGTTTGAAACAAAGCAACCTATTTCTTATTTCCTGGATGAAATCTACAAAGTGGGACATAATTGTCCTTTGCTTTGCACAATGCTCTGTATCAGTGGTTCTCAACCTGTGGGTCGGGACCCCATTTGGGGTCGAACGACCATTTCATGAGGGTCACCAAACAACGCAGTCTGCCATTTTTTTCCCCTTTTCCTTAGCTGTGCTACTCCCTTTTATGAAAGCCAATAGAACAGACTCTCTTGAATAGAGTCTAATTCTATTGGCTTTCAAAAGCCAATAGGAATTGTCCAGGCTGTCTCTGCCCTGCTGGGCCTGCCAAAAGTCCCATTCTGCAAATGGTGCTGCAGTTGAGTAGTCCCCGACTTACGACCGGTTGAATAGTCCTCGACTTACGACTGGTTGGGGGGTCGCAGCATTAAAAAGGTTGAGAACCACTGCTCTATATTTTCCTAGTGAATTCTTTGCTTAATAATGCAACAAAAAAAATATGAGAATTGTGTGTTGCTTGGTTGGGAGAAATAAGATACAGAAATAAAAGTGAGTTTTCACACTTTATTCAACTCACCAAACAAATTTAGAGACTGAAATCACTAGAGACATTTAGAGACTAGATGAAATGGACTTAAGATTGAATTATTACTACTGACTTCTTAGTGTAAACATTCTTATTTGTCCCTATCACAGACATTATAACATATTATAATGTTATAATTATAATGTTATCCCGGGGGGGGGCCGGGATACGATTGGGACATGCTTTATA